TTTAAACTTGGCAATAAGAATTACACTGTAAATGGTTTTTTGGGGGGGCTTTCTGTTTCACAAGTGATTTCCGTGTTACAAGAACGTTCTTCGAATACCATCAATTTTGACCTTCCATCTTGGAATTTGACTGACCTTTAAAAAAATTGATTTTGCTATAACATCTGAATACCTGGTGCTAGGGTTTTCAAATCATTTCACAGGTGTATTCCTTGCGACAAGTTAATTTTCTGAAGTACCAATATGTTTGATTTTGCCCTCAGAATTTGTCCTACTTAAAAAAACTTCAGCCTTGACTAACATTCCTAATTGATTGCTTCAAGGGTTTCTTATTTCACAGGTTTATTCCTGCTAATTAGATTTATTTTTTGGAACCAACACTTTTAATCCCTTGACTTTCGAGTTTGACTTGCATTATAGAAACTAAAACCTTCACCATGAGCCACAAAAACATATAATTTTAAGTTTCTGATAAAAATGTATAAAAAGCGTGAAGAGTGATTGATGTATAGAGCTACTGGTATTATTCTTTTACAGATCAGTGATAGAAATGAAATCCTACATTACTTTTATTCCAAGTTTGACAAATCCTACATTGCTGGCTTATGTAAAGAACTTGCTAAAGGTATTCAGTGGATTATATCTTATTCTAAATACCTAACTTCTTTCATATATCAGAAAATCATAGTAGATTTTAAACAGCGGTGAGTGCTATTCAGAGATATACAAATGGTGATTTTCAATGACATTCGAAGTTAATTCTTTTTGCTTGGACAATGCTGTCTGACAAATGTTATTTTAAAAGCATTTTTGGAAAAAAAAAATAAACATGTACATACATGTATGTAAATGAGAATTTGAACTCCTGCTTTGAAATCAAAAGAAAATAAAATGACATCAATTGCTCATATCTTCTTAGGTGCCAAAGAGAAAAAAGACCAGATATGTCTGGAACTTTTCAGACAAGCTGGGGAAATTCTAGCAGAACACATTCTTGGAGTTGGACCAAGAATTGCAGAGGTAACATCTAGGACTGTTGTTAAACAGAAATACAGTGTAAACTGTCTAATGCAACACCTGAATAATTTGACACACTGTGAATTCTGACCTTGGATTTCTTTCCCATTTTACTATTTTCCATGTTTTTCACACTGCACAATCGGACACCCTGTCTATTCACACACAAAATTTGTCTCCCAGTGCATGTCTGATTAGACAGATTTCACTGATTGTGACCTCAACAGCAACTGAAAAATATTAATTATCAAGTCCCTGGAAATTTTTTATTTTTTTTTCTCCTCAGGAATTACTGAACACACCCAGTGGATTACAGGTTGTCACAGTAGGGTCTGTCTGGAAAAGCTGGGACCTCATGAAGGACGGTAAGTCTAATGTTCAAGAATTGTTTAGAATTGAAAGAAAAATTTAAGGAAATTACATTATTTAGACAAATTTTCTATCTTGTAAAATAAAAGGATTTCAGTTACAACACGGCAATTATTTTATGATGTATGAAAAATATACCCTGACTGTTCTAATTTTCTATCAGGCTTATTTTGTGAGAGCCCTGACAGACAGTTACTTTATTCTATTTATTTCTTTACGTTTTTACTTCGGTATTCTCCGTGTAACTTCGTATCTAAAGAAACTGGTTTTTCATGCACGAGCGATTTAGCGCTCACTATAAATACTTTTACCGGGGAATGTTCAATTAATGCGACGTTCGTTACAAAGAATCGCAGGTTGTAGTAAGTCTTTGGCATGTCAACAGAATCAAGTTCAACTTCTACAAGTAATAGAGATGTTCCTCGAGAACTACGTACAGAGACAAATTCTAATTCCGGCCAGGATTTTGATGTTATTGACGCCGTCAGTTTATTCAACAGCAGGTTAGACACCGCCCTTAAAAAGCAAAAAACTCTCATTCTTTCTGAAATACAAGATAAGCTTAAACCAACAAATAAATTTGAGTTCCGCGGAGAAGGAAACAAAATACAGTTTCAGTTTAATGAGGAGAGATTGCGAGGTTTAGAACTGTTATCACAAAAACTCATCTCTGGCGATTTCAGCGGTGTCACAGATTTAATTTCCTCCGAGACAGAGGCCATTCGTCAACGAAACAAGATATTACGAATAGCTGATAAACATGGGTGGGACACGGTTAAGGAGTATGTGGATTCTGATATTGCTGACAATAGCGAGGATGCCGCCAGACTGCGCTCCGCTATTTCAAGAGCCGCCAACAAGAAACGTAAATCTCCTTACGACAGACCCGTTTTCCCTAAAACTTCAGGAGTGTTCGATGGTTTGTCCTCTAGGCAGCTTTTTCTCGGCAGTGCAAAATTCAACTACCGCCAGCAGTTCAACCCTAGATTCATTGCGCCCAGTTCAGCAAATTACAGAAATCCCCTACAAACACAAGTCGCAACATCGTCTGCCACTACTGTCGACTCCCGGGCCATTTTGCAAGATTCTGCCCGTACACTCAGCAACTCCAGTGCTCAACCCCCCAGGGAACCCAAACAACAGCACTCGTTCCAACATCAACAGAAAACCAGCAATGAAGTTGAGTATGTTAGTCATATATTAGACCATAAATCTGACTTTGATGCAAATTCAGACATTTCAGTTAAAGATCGTTTAAAAAACTCTGTTGAATTTTGGAAGAATGTTATAAAGCCAGACGATTATATTTTAAATGTTATCAAATTTGGCTATAGGATAGAATTTATTATATATCCTGAAGTTGTATGTTTGTCTAACAACAAATCAGCACTGCAAGCGCCCCTTTTGTTGAAAAGGCCATCTTAGAATTGCTGAGAAAAGAGTTAGTCATTGAATGCTTTGAACCGCCCCATTGTGTAAACCCACTGACCGTTTCAGCGCCATTGAATAAAAAGCCAAGGTTGATTCTTGATCTTAGACACGTCAATGCATGCGTTTTAAAGAGAAAATTCAAATTCGAGGGGTCTTCAGAGGGTCTTAATTTTGCCGAAAAAGGTTTATTTATGATCAAATTTGATTTAACAAGCGGATATCATCATGTAAACATCCATCCAGATTTTTACAAATATTTAGGTTTTTCCTGGAATTTCAATGGTTCAAAGCGCTATTTCGCATTCACAGTCCTACCTTTCGGTCTCAGCAGTGCTGGTTATATTTTTACTAAAGTATTAAGACCATTAGTATTGTATTGGAGAGCAAAAGCATACGGAGTTATAATGTATTTAGACGATGGCTGGGTGTAGTTATAATAACCGAGTCCTAGTGTAAGTTATAAATAACCCCAACCAGTCTTTAGTGTAATTCTTAAAAACGCAACATTTTCATCTATGTACGACTTCATCTATGTATGACTTGTTTCATACCAACTATACCCGTATTCCGCCAATTTCTTTCAGATACATTGTCTCATTGTAACGATATATACCCCAATGCAGTCGTTACACTTGAATGATTTTTTGGCTTGGGTATCGACATTATAGCACATTCCCTATGGTAACGCATATGAGAACACATGAGGTGAACAAGACATTTCAAAACCACAACACACAACATAATAATCATATTTCTGAATAATCATTGATTTGAATCAAAAGAAAATAAAAGTTTGGAAGAGAAATTTAGATGCATGAGTATGTATTTTACAGTGCGCCAATTTATGCAGAATAAGCTTGAAATAAAAAGCAGTAAAATCTGCAAACTCATTTTGAAATTATATCATTTGAATGGAACAAAACAACCTACGTCTTTGATTTGCAGGTCCTAAAGATGCAATTGATTCATAACGAGAAAACGCCTCGAACGCTGTAAATGTACCCATACCTGAAAGTAGCGTTACTGCATCGGTTTTAAAAACAAATGCCTGCAGCAAGTCAAGTGATATACACCCTGAATCCCATTTATTGAAATATGCATCACAAAAAAGAAATAAACTCCATAAAAGCTCAATAGTAAACACACTGTTATTACTCCGTACAGACTATAGCACGTCGATACACTCAGTCCGTGCTGATCACATTTTGGTCAGGGAAAATATCACAAGTGGAAAGAGAAGGTATTTGGTATTTGCGCGGCTGAAAAGGGGGGGGGGGGTTAAATTATTATAACTGCTGTTCATAAGCTACAATTGTGATTTATCTATCTTCATATAGTTCTAATATACATTCTATACAAAGTCATGTATATAGTCTGCAGTTTAATTGTTTGCGTCGCAAAATTCGTTTGTCAATTATTACTGATTATTTTGGTACTAATCTCAAATCTAAACCAAGTAATCTGAGGTACGGTAATTATTTACTTCAAATCTTAAAAGCAATTAACCAGAATACAAATTTTTATGTGTACATTTTTACGTTCTTTAACACACACACACCCTCACACATGCACGCGGAGAAAGGCCATCCCCTATTCAGATTGACATTTAGGCATTTGATTTTTTTAAGCGCGGGGGGGGGGGGAGGCATGCAGAAATAATTGACAGGACCGTTATGTAAATATTCTTGGATGACAGACATTTCTGCCGAATTTAATTTTGAGATTTTTTTTAGGAATGTAACTGTTTTATGTTGTTACAGAGAATCTCTCGAGATTTCAATATCCCAGCCTGAAAGTCTAGCTATTTTTTGTTTTTTTAATTTGTAATTTATTTAGGAGTATTTGAGAGATAATTTTAAGAGCTAGGGTAGGAATACTTGACACTGGTTGAATACGGATAATTTTTATTAACTCTTTTGTATATTGAACTCTCTCTCTCTCTCTCTCTCTCTCTCTCTCTCTCTCTCTCTCTCTCTCTCTCTCTCTCTCTTCCCCTCTCCCTCTATACCAATAATAGGTATAAGATCCTACGCACTTTGTGCTGTACCATTAGTAAGGCTTAGAAGTTAGAACTGATCTAGAATTTTTCTCAGGCGGGATGTCGAAACTTCATAAATTGAATAATAATTTTAATTTGGACAAGAAATTAGCCCAAACGCCCAAATTGAGAGAGAAACTAGAAGCATTGTGAGCAATGAGCTCACTAAATGATACCCCGCCTCTCATATAATGGTAAAGTCCATATTTTGCTCTTGTCGCTAAACCCAAAATATATATATGTGTCGAATCAAAAAGCAGGCACGTAGCATCGCATTTGAAAGTGGTGGCCAATCAGAGAATTTTTTTTAATTACCTGAAAAAGTTGACAAGAAAAAAAAAAAAAAACAAACAAACAAAACCACACCTTCAATAAACATTACCTATAGTCGCGGAAAAAAGTGGGGGGCAGCCCCCCCCCCCCTTGTTGCTACACCCATGCAAAGTAAAATAGGAGGAGTTGCACAATGGTAATATGTAATAAACCTAAGATTCTGTGAAAGTTTCATTAAATTTCACCAAGTGGTACAGGATGATTTACGGATAAGAGATTGGTACCCCAAATGGTAAGAGACAGACGCACGGACAGACGGACGAACATAACGATTACATCACAGGAATGGGAACATTGGGAACTTTCTCAAATGCCTTCTCAAGCGTACGTGTCGAACCTGGACAACAGACAGGAGAATTTTTAAAAAGCTAATTGTAGGTATAATGTGGAATTCTCATGGGGAGTTTGCTCTCTCTTCCTATATGCTTTTTCTGATAATCATTAATTATTTATGTCTAGAAATTTAATTCACATTAAATTCTATTTTCATTATCATTGCACCACAGAATGAAACTTGTTTATTATACCCCTCGCAATAAGCTGCGTGAGGTATTATGTTTTTGACCCGTCAGTCAGTCTTTTTTTTTCTTTTCTTTTTTTTTGGTCAGCGCGTCTTCTCATAAACCACTACACAGAGTTTTGTCGAACTTTGCAGATATTTATAGGAGACAATGTGTGTGTAGATTTGCACATCACCAGAAAATTCCAAATTCTTTATTTTAACGGGAATTTCCGCACAGAGAGATGAGCAGTTTGTCGGTGCAATTCCTCATAAACCGCCTCAAACAATTTCGTCAAACTTTGCAGATATTTAGGACATAATGTGTATAGATGAGCATATTACATGGAAATTACGATTCCTTTATTATGCGCCCGGATCGATAGATCCGAGGCGTAAATTGTTTTTGTCCTGTCTGTCTGTCTGTCTGTTTGTTTGTTTGTTTGTTTGTTTGTTTGTCCGCAAACTTTAACCTTTGCCATAACTTTTGAACCATAAAAGATAGAGACTTCATATTTGGTATGCATATTCTACTAATCAAGTTCTTTGAAATGACACCAAGGTGAATGACCTTGTGACCTTGACTGTGACCTTTATGCTAAGAATAGCTTTTTTCGAATTTTGTTGCTGCCGGGCGCATAGTGTTTCACAAACACATCTTGTTTTTCCTGGGAATTTCAGCACTTCGACCTTTAGG